TTCTGGCCTGTAGTGTTTCTTGTGAGAAGTCAGCTGAGAGCCTTATGGGGTTCCCTGTGTAGGTAACCTGTTGCTTATCTCTTGCTGCTTTTAGGATTCTCTCTTTGACTTTAATTTGTGGCATTTTAATTACTATGTGTCTTGGTGTGGGCCTGTTTGGGTTCTTCTTACTTGGGACTCTCTGTGCTTCTTGAACTTGAATGCCTTCTTCCTTCACCAAATTAGGGAAGTTTTCTCTCACTATTTTTTTGAATATATTCTCTATCCCTTGCTCATTTTCTTCTTCTTCGGGGACTCCTATGATGCGAATATTATTACGTTTCCAGTTGTCCCATAGTTCTCTTAAGCTGTCTTCCTGTTTTTTAATAGTTTTTTCCTTTTGTTTTTCTGATTGGTTGATTTTTTCTACCCTGTCTTCTAATTCACTGATTCGGTCCTCAGCTTCCCCTACTCTGCTTTTTAAACTTTCCAATGTGTTTTTCATTTCGGATATGTCATTTTTTATCTCTTGTTGTTGGTTTTTAATTTCCATTTGGCTTATTTTCAGTGTCTCTATGTCCTTACTCATGCTGTTCAGCTTCCTCAAGATCATGGCTCTGAATTCTAGCTCTGTTAACTTGCCTAATTGCTCCACATTGATCTCATCTTCGGTGGAGGTGTCTTGCTCTTTCATTTGGCTTCTGTTTCTGTGTTTCACCATTTTGGCTATCACTGTGGGCTTTGGAGCCTGCCAAGTTCTCCCTGTGGGTGTTGGTGTTCTGCTGTTTGTGGCTCCCTCTCCTGTGTTTAGATGAGCGAGGGAGGACCCACGTTGAACACCACTGTCAAGTCTTACTTTCCTGGTTAAAGTTGCCAGCCCAGGAAACGTACTGTTATCCTCTAGCTTTTTGCCTGGAGGCTAGCAGTCTAGGTTAATTGATGAGTTTTGGGTTGTCAGTTGATTGAAAAACTCCCTCTGGTGCTCAGCCAAGGGGCTTTCACGAGGGTGGGGCAGATGCTGGTTGTTAGTGAGTCTCAATTAACACTTCAATGGCCCACAGGGTGGGGTTGGATCTCTGAGGGAGGGGCTGCCTCTCCTCAGAGCTCTGGGAAGGAGCAATGTGGCCACCGTCCTGAGTGGCTGCACTCAGCCAAAGCTCTGAGCCCCCTCCAAACCCAGAGTGTCCCGACACAGTTCCAGTCCAGTCTGTCCTCCCTCTGCCGGAGCCCAAGGTGAGTGGCTGTGGCTGTTTCAGCCTCTGTCCCGGCTGCGCTGTGGAGCCGCCTGGGAGTGTAACCCGAGGGCGCTGCTCCCAGCTAAGGCCACTGCCGAGCTGCCGACCGTGGGCTCCCAGCCCCGTCTCGCGCCTTCGCAAGCCTACCGGGATGGAGTCAGTGTCCCTCGTTGTATGGTCCTCGCAAGCTGCTTTTCTGTTGGTTTTTCTCGTCGATTTGTCTGTGTTATAGTTGTAATTCCAGTTTGGTTCTGGGAGACGGTCTGTGTAGCTCCGTTCACTCCGCAGCCATTTTACCTCTCTGCTTGTTTGGTTTTCAATGTTTCTATATCTTTACTCATGGTGCTGATGTTCGTACTCATATGTTGAGCTTCCTCAAGATTATGGCTCTGAACTCTACCTCTGATAATTTGCTTAGCTGCATTTCATTTATCTTACATTTGATAGAGTTCTCTTGTTCTTTCATTTGGGATTCGTTTCTTTGTTTCACCCTTTGGCTCTCTAAGTGGGTTTTGGAACCTGTCTAATTTCTCTGTGGGTGTTGCTGTTCTGCTGTTTGTGGCTCACTCTACTGGGTTTGGATGGGCCTGGGTGAGCCCATGTTAAGCACCACTGTCAAGTCTTACTTTCCTGTGTAGATTTGCAAGCCCAGGAAAGGTTCAGTTATCCTCTAGCTTTTTCTTGGAGAGTAGTAGTCTCAGTTACTAAGTGCCTTGGAATGTATCTCTGGTGTTCTACCTGAAAGGATTTCCAGAGTGTGGGATAGATGCTTGTTGTTAATGAGCCTCAATTTGCATTTCTTTTGCCTCACCTGGAAAAGGCTGAATCTTTGAAGGGGGCGGGGGCTGCTGCTTTTCCTCACAGCTCTGGGAAGGAGCACACTGGAATCTTTGAAGCGGGGAGGGGGGTGGGGGAGGTGGGGGTGTGGGGGGCTGCTTTTCCCCACAGCTCTGGGAAGGAGCACACTGGCCACAGTGCTTTGTCGCCACAACTCAGCCAAAACTCTGAGTGCCCTCCAAATCCCAGGTTTCCCCACAGAGTTCCAGCCCAGTATGCTCTCCCTCTGACATAGCCCCCAGGTGAGTGGCTGTGCCTATTTTAGCGGTCTGTCCAGGCTCTCTGCGCTGTGGAGTGAGCTTGGTCTTTATTCCCCAAGGGTGTTGCTCACAGCTAAGACTGCTGCAGTCCATGGGCTTCCAGCTCACCACCCTCTCATGCCTCTGCAGACCCTACCAGTATCCCTGGTTATATGGTCCTGTCCTGCTGCTTCTCTGTTGCTTTTTCCGAGGATTTGTCTTTATTTTCGTAGTAATTCCATTTGTTCCTGGGAGATCATCTGTGTAGCTTCCATTCACTCCGCCTCCATTTTCACATCCTCTATGCCTATCTTGTGCGCAGCTAGGTGGCACAGGCCTCTCTGTTGCCCACACCCTGCAGGTCCCGAAGGTAACTTGATCGCTTGTTTTCTTTGGGAACCGGGCTCTATGCCTGTCTTATGGACTGCTGGGTCTCACAGGCCTCTCTGCTGCTTCAGCACCCTGCAGGTCTCGGGAGTGACTATATGGCACAGGCCTGTCTCGTGCCCCCACACCCTGCAGGTCCTGTGGGCAGGCAGCTGTATTGCACCAGTCCCTCAGGCTTCCCACCACTCTTGTAGGCTGCTGAGTTGCACAGGCCTCTCTGGTGCCGCAGTACCCTGCAAGTCCCACAGGCGGGCAGCAGGATTGTACTAGTCCCTCTGGAACCCTGGCTTCCCAGTGGTGTTGTGAACTTCTGGACTGCACAGTCCTATGTGGAGCCCCAGGCCCTGCCACTGGGGGCTGGGGAGTGCTGCTGCCTCATGGGGCTCAACTCCTGCTCAGCTTTTGCTGTGTTTTGGGGGATGGGTCTCAGCTGCTGATCTGTGCTTCTGTTTCCTGGTGATGGGTATCTTCTCCCCATCTTCTGTTGCTGTGGGTATATCTTGACTCTGATTGGGCTGCTACTCTGGAGGAGAGTGCTGGGGACCTGGCTATCTGTGACTTCCACGAGCGGCACCTTGGGAGCTCCACTACTGTGCATTACTCTGTGTTGACACAGATTGTCCACTGGTCCGTTGGTGTCTGGTGCACTGGTGGCTCAGGTTGCTGGGCCCTAGCCTCTCCCACTGCCTCCTCCCAGGGAAGACCCAGGATCTTCCAAAATGGTGCGACCTTCCTGTAGTGCAGGGAGAATCGGTACAAGGTAGCCGGCTTCTCCCTGTCTACAGCACAGGAACCTTCTGTTCTGAGTCTCTGCACTGCATGAGTTTGGTCGTCCACCTTCATGTCCACTCACACTCTCTCACACACTAGCTCACTCTCTCACACACTCACCCTCCTCTGGTTTTGCCTGCCACAATCTGGTATATTTAACTTCTTAATTTTGATAGTGGTTATTTTTGTAAAATCTATTGCTAGCATCATACTTAATGGTAAAAGATTGCATCTTTCCACCAAGGTCGGGAACCAGGCAAGAATGTCTGCTCTCACCACTTCTATTCAAAATTATACTAGAAGTTCAAGCCAGTGCAAAAAGACAAGAAGAGAAACAGCATCTGGATTAGAAAGGAACAATTAAAACTCTCTTTTATTTGAAGATAGTAATCTAGAATCTACAAAACAGCTATTAGAACTAACAACTACTTTGGCAAGTTGCTAAATATATACAAAATTAATATGCAAAATATAATTTTATCTGTATATGACAGCAATGAACAATTAGAAATTAAAATAAATATTATTTACAATAGTACAAATATACAAAATACTTAGAGATAAATCTGACAAAAGATGTTTAAGGCCTGTGTATATTGAAAACTATAAAATATTTCTGAGAGAATGTAATTAGACTTAAATAATTGAAGAGCTATCCTGACACCCCATGTTCGTGGTTGAAGACTCAATATTGCCATATGTGAATTCTTCCCAAATTGTTTAATGCAATCCCAGTAAAAATTTCTGAAGGAATTTTTATATAAATTGAAATATTCATTCCAAAATTCATACAGAAATGTAAAGAATCAAGAGTAGCCAAAACAACTTTGGAAAAAGAACAAAGTTGTAGGACTAATACTTCTGATTTCAAGACTTACTATTAAGTTCTTGCAATTAGGACAATGTAGTAATGGTGTCAGTGTCAACAAATTGATTAATGGAGCAGAACAGAAGATCCATATATAGACTCAGCAAAAAGCAGACCACTGCTGGGTTGCAGAGTGTCATAGGATGGGGGTTGGGGGGCATGTAGAAACACAAAAGCTTTTAAGGGTGATGTGTATGCTCATTATTTTTATTGTGGTGATATTTTTACAGGTGAATGCATAGGTCAGAACTTTTCAAAAGGTACACTTTAAATATATGCAGTTTACTATAGGTCAGTTATACCTCAATAAAGCAGTTTTAAAAACCTAGTGCAGCTTTTAATTTGCACAGAAGAATAAAAGTATTTTATGTTAGTTATTATTACTAACATCTATAGAAAATTAGGAAATGCCAGCATTGTGCAAAGCATCTCTCTCCCTCTCTTTCTTTCTCTCTCTAGCTTACTTATTTATCCTTATTTTATTCTCATAACAACCCAATGAGGTAGGTGCTGCTCTTAGCCCCTTTTTCCAGATGAGGAAACTGAGGCCCCATAACATTCTCATTGTCACACAGCCTATAAACAGTGGAGCCAGGATCTGAACCAGGCAGTTTGCGTCAGAGCTTGGGCTCTGAGCCACTGAGGCGATGATTACTTTTCATGTTTTCCAATTGTGATTTACAGGGAAAAGTTGCAGAAGAAGCCTCAATTAAGGAACTTTCACCAATAGTCCAAAGTGGAAATACTGGTGAAATTGAGGTAGGGTTTGCACAAGGCTTTGTGTACTGCCTGTGTGGCCCCAATGTGGTTCAGTCCTTGCCATCTGAGTCTGTGACCTTTTCTCTTCCAGGCTCCCTGCTGCTATCTTACAAATTGATATCTGCCACCTCCTTTAGGGCCTACTCCACAAAACTTCCCTCAATTAACTTCTACTGCACTGTGACTAATCCTCTATTCCCTATCTCTTGCACAGCTCAGACCTAGAAGTTACATTTTCTACATTAGCTATCTGAAACAATTTTAGTAAAATTGACTTTACTAAAATTGATTTCTCTTTTTTCCATTGTCCACAGAGAAGACATTTTGTAGGGGAAAAACATTTGTAAGACTTTTCTGCAATTTCATGTATCATAGGTACATATGTACTCCCATACACACACTTACATGCATATGTCATTTATCTGCATCCCAGGTTCTAGTAACTGCTCTTCCTGTGACAGATTTGGGCCAACCATGGTGGCATCTTCTGCCAGTTACTGTTCCTGGGCACTTCCTCACCTTTGTTGGTTTTCCTTCACCCTGCCCACATCTTCACATAAGGTCCTTTGTTAAACCTGCTTTGTCCACTCCATTGGTTTGTATGGCCTGTTTCTTGCTAGAAACCTGAGAATTCAGGTAGAGATTGGTAGGGTTCTGTGAACACTGCTTAGGATTTTGAACTTTTCTTAAGGAGCAGAGGAAGGCTGTAAAGGTTTTAAGTGGGAGACTGATATGATCAGACATTCTTATTCCCCAGTGATGACTATAGTTATGAACTTTCAGTGGATTCCCAAGCGCCTCTTGTTGGAATGAGTCAGCCCGAAAGTCTACAGAGCCCTTGACGGGGGAACAGGGAACAGGAAGTTGAGTGATCCTTGGAGGCTCTGGGACAAATTCACTGAACATTAATCTCAGATATTCAAATTCTGAGAGAGGACCAGATTACTACTCCTCTCTCCTCTTCAGACTCTGACCAACTAAGTCTTCATAGAAGTCAGCTAGAGATTAAAAAAACAAAACACAACAAAAAACACCACTTTATTATATGGCTAAACCTGAACTGGACGTGTAACATAAATGAATTTACTACTTCCTCCTACTGGATTAAATGTACACACCTGGCTGTAGGCAGGCCTCACCTTTGGGGCAGCATCTGCCCTTCTGGGGTAAGTGCATGGAGGAGAAGAGAATGCATGCTTCCTGGAGAAGGGTGTGCTGCTAGAAGGAGAGTGCACTAGGCAGGTACAGAACAGAGTCATTTTATGAGTCTCACTTTATCATGCTCTGTGGGACCCTACACCTGTGCTTCTGGCACTGCTCATTCCTCAGCACCCTGAGGAGGAGGAGTTCAAGTTCCTGGTCTTTCTCTGGTGTTGTACCTGCAATCAGGTCAGAATCTTTGGGGACCAGCCATCAGCCAATGACTGAAGTCAGCTGGAGAATCAGTGTCCTAGTTCCTTTGATTCTTAGTTGAGTTCTCCATGGTCTCCCCAAGATCTTGGCAGAATTGAGTCCACAGTGGTAACATACTCATTAAATTCTCTGCATTTCTTCCCTTCCTTGCCTCACTTTTCTACTCCCCTTGCAGAATTTCCTGGCTTCCCTCCCCAAAGAAACTTAGCTCAAAGTTTGCTTCTGGGTAAACCCACATTAGGGCACTCACTTCCCATGCCTTGGGAAGGAGAGAGTCAGGCATGCATCACAAGAGAGCTGTTTTCTCTTCAGTATTTCTAAAGGGGTAGTCATTCCTTTAGGAACACCACAAGGGTGTGGTGGGGCACAGGATGTGCCCCACTGCCTTAGACGTACTGGAACCCCAGAGGGCATCTGGGTCAACAAGATGGATATTGATCTCCCATGTTTATTGCCTCTTCCTTCTGGGAAAAACAACAAAAAACACTGAAATGACAGTAAAGAAATAAGAAGGGCCCACATTTACAAAGGCAATGGGACTGGGAGAGATGTTAGAGAATGAGCACTTCAAAATGTTTGGAGCCAAGAAAATCAATGGTGGAGTTGACACTGGCTCAGTACTGCTGTGGAAGGTGGGTAAGGACTGGTCTGAAACATGGGATCTGCTGACAGTCTGTTATAATGTATCAGGACACCAGGATCCTTGCAGACAGCACTGATCTTGTCATCTAGCCGCCAAGTGAAATGACAAGATGACTGTTCTCTGGAGAAACCGAACAGAAGCAGCTCCAAATTCAGAGTCAGACTGCACACATGAGACTGTGTAATGGGGGAAGCACGGAGAATAGAAGAATAAGTGGAATTTTCTATTTCAAATGGAGGACCCTCTGAACTTCTCCTCCTGCCATCTTCTCCAAAGGCCAAAAGTCAGGTCTTTGTATTAGTTTTTTATTGCAACTGCAACAAATTACCACAAATTTAGTATCTTAACACAACATAAATTTATTATCTTGCAATTCTGGATGTCAGACACTCCAAACAGCTTTTACTGTGCTAAGATCCAGGTGCAAGGAGGGTCCTCTCCCTTCTGGAGGCTCTAGGGGAGAATTCATACCCTTTCCAGCTTCTGAAAACCACTTGCATTTCTTGGCATATAGCCCCTTCCTCCATCTTTAAAGCTGGTGGCTATGGTATCTTCCAAACTCTCTTTAACTTTTACCCTCCTACCTTTCTCTTACAAGGACTCTTATGATTTGGGCCTACCCAGATAATCCAAGATAATCTCCTATCTTAGAATCCTTAATTTATTGACACCTACAAAGTCTCTTTTACCCCGTAAAGTAACATCCACAGGTTCTGGGGATTAGGCCATGCACATCTTTTGGGACTACTGTTATGTCTACAAAGTCCCTCAAGCTGGTGACTAGAGAACATAATTCCCCTCAAAACCTGAAAGGCCCAAAGAAAAGTTCTCCAGATAATGTCCCTAGAGGTGGTTGCCCAATAAAATGCCAGGTCTGTGCTTGATCACCCCATGAAGTGCCCATTTAGCTGTTGAGTTTTGCTACCTACCATGCGCTGTTGGTTTTATGAAGCTAGAAAAGTGCTCCAGTGATAAAAGGGTTTTATACAAAGAAGACAACTGAAAGACCTGGAAATTAAACAAGAGCTGTGAAACAGGAAAGCAGGTGGTTCAGCAGGCAGGTGAGCAAAGTTAAATCAGAGGATGGGGAGAGAAGTGAAGCCATAGATTATCTCAAATGCTTGGTTCTCTGGAAAATAATATTGAGAAGCATGTGGCAAATCTGACAAGCATGTGAAAGAAAATTAGGAAAAAAAGAGAAAACAAAGTACACATATGAGAACACAGTCATATCATACTTCTTTGCTCAGGAACAGTGATAACTACATATTTATAATAATGTAAATACTGCTTTAACCTGGAATTGAATTGTGCTAAAATTATATTGAAGGATGGGAGTTATGATAAGGGGAAGGGGGTAGTGTAAGGGGGTTACATCTGCCCATCACATTAATATCCAAAAGGGAATTTTAAAAACTGACAAATTAAGAAATAATAGTGTAAGCATATATTCAGAAATATAGAGGTGAATACCCAAAGAAATGAGAAAGTTGAAAATGCTAGCCAATGGGGAGAGGGACTTGGGGGGTTAGGGGACTCCTGATTATGTTTTTAGTGCAAGTACTATTTTAATTTTTACTAAGTGCATGTATTACTTTGACTTAAAAGAACTCTGAGAAGGATCTCAGAAGGAACGTTTTCCTCTACTGAGATGTAACACCTTCTTCGATACCTTTAAAATGAGACCAAAGATCTCAGTGCTAAGTTTCCAGGTGGCGATGGGCAATTGGACCTCCCAGGCTTCAACTTACCACCAAACCACCTGAACAGTCCTAAGACCCAATAATTCTTTTAGCACAAAATCACAATGAAAACACTTTTTGGAACAGAGGTATTTTTCTTATGGAATTAACATGTATATAATACTACCATGCTCTAACCTCTACCCAGTGATGCAGTTAAAATATGCCTCCTATATCAAAGGCCAACTGAAACCATTTGTTTTTCTGACCTTCATGTGAGAACTTAAGTTTCAGTCCTCTTATAAATTTTAAAAATTTTATTAACAACATCTCCTTAAAACGAGGCCTGGCTCAGGATAATCTGTTTTAGGTGAGACAGTCACAGCTGTCCTAGGAATGTAGAGGTGATACAACCACTAACCATTAAACTGCAGAAGATGAATAGGATTCCCATTTGGTTCCTCCTCTTTCCTTGCTCTAGGACTTAGAAAATCTCCATCTAGAATCCACTGAAAATGATATAAATTATTGTGTCAGTAGTGTGAGCCCAGCATCCATCTCACTGCCTGGGGAGACCAACTACTTCCGCCCCATCTACATGGGAGCCGCTGCTGCTTTTTGTATTCAGCTGTTTTGTATTGATGAGAAGCATGAAGCAAGGCAAGTACTGATTTCCAGGTTTTCTGTTACGGTAAGACATTCTTATGGTGTTGATGGCCCAAAGTTTAAATCTCGCAGAGTCATTGGTTTCCAAACCTGCCATATCCTAATCTAAGAAGCTTTTTATGTATTCATTAAATTTTTTTTTCTTTTATTGATTTTATATAGAGAGGAAGGGAGAGAGAGAGGGGGAGAGAGAGAGAGAGAGAGAGATAGAAACATCAGTGAGAGAGAACATCAATTGGTTGCCTCCTGCATGCCTCTCACTGAGGATCGGGCCCACAACTGGGGCTTGTGCCCTGACTGAAAATCAAACCGGCGACCTCTTGGTGCATGGGTCAACACTCAACCACTGAGCCACCCTGGCCAGGCTCCTGAGAAGCTTTATAAAAAGCACAGATTCCTTAGTCCCCCTCCCAGAGATTCCAGTTCATAAAATTTGGGTAAGGCCCACAGCACTGGGCTTCCCAGGATCTGGCTCACCTATGTAACAAGTGGGGATCTGGAAAATGATCTCTTATGTAACTACATGCTGCTCTCCATTCTCTAAAGTTTTTATTTTGGAGAAACTTGGGATTTAGGTTGCTGCTTGTCTGGAGTTTTTTTTGGTTACAATTCATAGAAAGTCCAACTCAAACTAGCTTTGAAAAAATGGAATAATGGTTTTACATAACAAAGGATATATTTTGTAACAGGACTGATTTTCAGTAGAGCTTGATTCAGGACTTAGATAACCCAATCAAGGACCAAATTTGTCTCACCTACCTCCCAGCTCTGGCTCCCTGCTATGGCCCCATTCTCAGAGCAGTGTCTCCATCTGGGGCTAAAAGAGTAGACAGTGGGCTCGGGCTCTGCACTAAAAGCTTGTGAGGAGGACAGTCTGGTTTGGACCTACCTTTCCAGCCAAAGCTCCTTTGGCCCAATCAGGCTGTGTGTTCCTTCTTGAGCTGATGGCTGGGGCCAGGCTAGACCACTTAGTCCCTTGCCTCAGTCTCTGTGCACAATCTGGAGCTGGAGTCTGGGAGGGAGGTTAGTGGGACACCAAACAATGATCTAGGGCAAGGAGTCATGGTGCCACGCTGGCGACTCAGTCACCCCACTTTGTGATTCTCCAGAACACCCAAGTTCAGTGCCTGCTGCCTCTTGTAGACTAGGTATAGACCCTGCCCTCAATGCCTAGATTCCACACTTCCTTTAGAGTACCCACCTACTCTTCCATTTTGTCCCCAGAACAATCTCAAGGAGGAATAGACTGGCCCATTTTGATAGACTGGAAGGTTCTGGAATATTTTTTAGGTGACCAATAGCACTTTTGGGGATTTCCTCTTTAGAGAATGTATTTAAACATATTCCCGGTCTCCTGGCCTCGCTTTGAACTGTTTTACTTATGCTTTTTTCCTCTTAAAGTTTTTGATTTCTTTGGACATCTGGAAGGTTGAAATGGGAAATCCTTTTGTTTTAATTATATTGTAGACATCCAAAAAGCCTATAAACCCTTCTATATTTGTTGTGTATATTTATTTTTCCCTTTGCATTCAGATATGATTGTGCTTAGAATGGGATTTTTAAATTTTCGAGCAGGAATTTGATGACCCATTACAGTTTGCCTGTGCATATACATTGCAGCTGGTCAGAACATCTTTTGCACATAAAAGAGAAAAGGATCAGAGTAGCTTATAATATGCCCATATCCCCTCCCCACTCATCTCTCTTCCAAAAAGCCAGGGAGGGATCATATCTACAGAATGACTATCTTGCTTTTTGAATGTGCAGAGATTATTAATTGCTGCAATAGTACCTTCAGTTCTAGAAAAATACTTTATTACTGATGTACAAAGCTTATGACTTCTGCAAAAGCTTAATTAATGTGATTAATGTTTAACTAGACACAATTTCTGACTAGTGGTTGGCTACTCACTGCCTGAGGGAAAGCAATATATCTCTTTAAATATACACCGATGCTGTATTTGTTTGCAGGTCAGTGACTGTGCTTTCTGTTTGTTTACAGGTCATTGGACTTTATGAATTTTGTTTTCAGTCTCTTTCCTGTAAGTACATGCTGAATTTTGAGGAACATAATTGATTTTGTAAGCTAGAAAAGTGAAATGCCATACCCATTGTCCAAACATTTAAAATGCTCTGAGTATAGAGGTTTCAACTGCTCCTGTGTTCTGATAGTAAGGTTAACTGACATGGCATGAACTCTTAAAAATAGAAAATATTGCCATTTTTGATAATTTTTCAGTCCTGCTGCTTTAATAGTTTTCTTTCAATGAATAATTTCTTTTAGAGATAGCATTACCAGTGGGGTTTTTTTGTTGTTGTTGTTGTTTTTTTTTTAAGAATCAAATCATTAATAGAATGCTGGTAAGTACATGAAAATGTCAGAAATTACACTGAAGTGAATTGACTATTATATTACTTTATTGCTTATATTAGCCCAAAGAATTCTGAGACTGTTAATATTGCTTTTCTGCTGACAGGAAAGTGGGTATTTGTGGTTGATTTTCTGCTTGGTCCTGTCTGACTTAGTGCCTGATGTGTAGGAGGGGCTCCCCCAGGCACACCTCCAAATACTAACAAGATACTCCATTTCAGGGTGTCCTGGCCTTTTTCTCCATTTTTGTTTCATTGTTGTCAAGGGATAGCGATTCTATCCAACATTTTATCACTTCATTGGGGGAAGAAAGTGGGGAAGGGAGATAACTGAGGGACACAGTGGATTTTTATAAAGACTTTTTCTAGCCCTGGCCGGTTTGGCTCAGCGGTTAGAGCGTCGGCCTGCGGTCCGGAGAGACCTGGGTTCGGTTCCTGCTAAGGGCACGTACTTCGGTTGCAGTTTGTCCCCGGCCCTGGTTGGTCGTGTGGGTGGCAGCCACTCGATGTGTCCCTTCACGTCGATGTTTCTCTCTCTCTCTCTCTTCCTCCCACTCTATCTGTACAAAAAATGGAAAAATATCCTCGGGTGAGGATAAAAAAGAAAAAAAAAAAAAAAAAGACTTTTTCTATGCTGGCCTGTCAGTTAAGTAAAGTTAACAACTAATTTCAAGCAAAGTATCTACTGCTTTATTTTTCCTTGATATTCTTTATAATGAAGCAAAAAACAAATATGGTTGAATTATGTTGCCGGAAAGCTATGTGATCATAGATTATATTTCCTTGTTTGTTAATATAATGAAGCCTTACAATAATGTTCTCCATCATATTTTTAAAAAAAATTATTTTAAGACATTTGAAGCTTCTAAAACAATGTAAATTATTCTAAAATAGGATTTACAAAGTCAGTTTCCTTCAGAGATGGCCCAAAGTTGTTTCAGTAAGCTTAATTCATTCCTATTTTGAAGTCCATGTAAAATTAGCATTACAAAAGCAGTGCTGGATTTATAAAGGTAAAAGAAATGTTTACTTTTAATTTATTTTTTAAAATCCTCATCCAAGATATGTTTTTATTGATTTTGAGAGAGAGAGAGAGAGAGAGAGAGAGAGAGAGAGAGAGAGAAACATCAATCGGTTGCCTCCTGCATACGCCTGACCTGTGATCAAACCCATAACCTAGGTATGTGTCCTAATCGACAATTGAACCCACCTTTGGTACAAGGGATGACACTCCAACCAGCCAAACCACCCAGCCAGGGCAAGACATGTTTACTTTTAAATTCTATTTTATTTCAGGATATGAGAAGACAGGAACAAAATACCTTCATTACTTTATTCTTAGACCTTCAGATCCCAGTCACAGCAACTCATTACAGTCTCCTCCTCCCAGAGGAAGCCCACCGAGACTTGCCCCCAATCTTTATTTGTAGCTCTGAGTACTCAACAACTTGACTCTAATGTCCCCCAAAGGAGCTGTGTTGTTTTGCTAGAAAAAGGAAAATTAGGTCAAACAATGGTTCACTCTTTGGGGTTGCAAAAATGTCCCCAGGGTTTTAGATTAACACAAGTAATAATACCTTCACAAGGTTTGGGAGAAGGCAAGATCACAGTGTGACATATTAGGTCTGGGAAGAGCAGGCTATTTCTGCGGGCACCAGGCAGAGGGTTAAATGGGAAGTGTGGAGCACAACCGGCCTGAGGCAGCGCTGTGCAACAGACAGCAAACTGGGAGCTGTATATGTAGTTATTCTAAATGTTCCAGCAACCACATTAAAAAAATGTAAAAAGACACAGGTGAACTCAATTTTAATAATGTATTTTATTTAACTCAATATGTGCAAAATTTAATCATTTTAACATGTAAACAATATGAAAAATTATTTTACACTCTTTTTCTCAGTTTTTGAAATTCAGTGTATATTTACACTTATAGCCTATCTCAATACAAACAGTAACTTTTCATCAGAAATAATGATCTGCATTTAGATTTTATAAAATTTCCAATAGATTCATTTTCACAAATTGTTCTAAACATACATAAAACTTCTCTAATAACTGAATTCAGTATCAGTTTTTAAATTAAATTAAAATTTTAGTTCCCTAGTCACACTAGCCACATTCCAAGTGCGTGGTGGCCAGATGTGGCTACTGGCTATCATTATGGATAGTGCAGATCTAGAAGGTAAGTGGCAGCTGTCAGGATATGTGGATCATTCTGTGCCTGCTAACTAAACCCACTGCCCAGGTCAAACATGTCCTTAGATCTGTTCACCCAAATGGGATCATGTCATGATGAAATACATTTGTTCATGTATAATCGCAGAATTTTAGAATGGAAAAGTCCTGGAGTACTACCCTCTCATCTCACAGAGGAGGGGACCACAGCTGGTACAATACCGGTTAGTAAGCCTTTGCTGTGACACCACATTGCCTCATTTACTCCTGATTGCAAGTGAATTTGAAAGGGCAAATGTCCTTAAGCTGAAAATCTACTTCCACAAAAGAGCTATGCTGTATGGGTTCCATTGTTCACAATGTTCATTTATTCAAGTTTCAGTCAGACTTTTATCGAACTCTGATGGTTGATTATCCCCCTGAGTTTTATAGGATTATTTTCCAAATTATAAGAAAGTTTAATTTGAATACCCTCTCCTTTACACATTTTGCTTCCTATTTTCTTTCTTGTTTTACAGCAGGAATATGTTTAGTGTAGTGATAAGTAATTTCTGAATGTCTTTCCTTGTGTACTGCTCCAACATGTTAGGACAAGAACTTCTGCCTCATTTCTCTGCCGCATCTCACCCCTGAGTTTGTCCTCATCCAGAACTTTGTGAAGATAGTCCCCTTCAACAACTGCACCCTGGAGCAGGATCTCTATGTCTTCCATAGGGCTGGATTGCTCAAGTAAGTAGATGCATGTTTGGCCAAAAGACTATCCATGAAGTTAAAAATGAGAATGGAATAAGGAGACTTCTACCATTTCAATTTAATGATTTATTTTTAAAATTGTCTTATTGGCAGAGGGCTTGATGAAGGATTTTAACCGGTACATTTATGTACAGAGTCATATTAAGAAGTTACTTGTCCAGTCAGGTATTAAAACATATCAAAACAATGCCATGTTGACAAATTCTATGGATAGAACAATGTAATTCAAGGAACTCCTACTATATAGGCCCCAATATAGTAAGAATTTAGAGTGTGCATGTGTGTGTATAAAGGTATGTCTAGACACATGTATATGACAAAATTTCTGTCACAGCAGTGAGAAAAGGAATGTTTATTCTGTAAATGGTGGTACAAAAATAAGGATAAAAATGTTCTTCATAGCCTACAGGAAAATAGATTCCCAGGTGATTGAAGAGTTAAATGTGAATATTAAAAACAAAATTTAGATAATAAATCCATAGTGCCAAATTCTGAGAATACAACAATGAACAACATACAGATATGTTCCTGATACTTTCAAAGCTTATAAACACTTGCATCAATGTAAACCTGCAGCTATGATGGGTGTACCAGCAATGGGTATGTGGTTATATAAATGTGGTTTCATTGGGACATTCAGCCCCATGGGAGGAAGCTTTCCTGAGGAAGAACGTCAAATGCTAGACAAGGAGTGTGAGTGCAGATTGATCTTTATCATGTTGCAGGATGGGGAAGTTCTTAGAACATAGAAGAAAAAAATGAAGTTGTTTTTTTTTTTTTACTATATAATGTTTTATGAACCACACTAATTTAATTAAAATGCAACTGACTAATGGAAGGATATTTTTAATATGGCAGACATAGTGTTGGTATATTTAATACATAAAGAGCTTTAATAAATCAATAAGAAGACAATTTAATACCTGAATAGAAAAAGAACAACAGTGGCAAATAAAAGCCAAATTAATTTTTTTTTATCCTCACCCAAGGACATTTTTTGTTCAGATAGAGTGGGAGGGAGAGAGAGAGAGAGAAACTTTGATGTGAAAGGAACACATCGAGTGGCTGCCACCTGCACGACCCAACCAGGGCTGGGGACAAACTGCAACCGAGGTATGTGCCCTTAGCGGAAACCGAACCCGGGACTCTCTGGATTGCAGGCTGGCAAGCAAACTATTTTCATATGAAGAAAAACAAACAAACAAACAAATCAATGGATGTTTAAAAACCTTTAAACTTATCTCTAATTAGGGAGAAGAAACCAAAGCAAAAATGAGACATCAATTTTGGTCAATTGGTGAGAAATAAAATATAGAAACATTTAATTCTTAATGAGACAAATGTAGCACTGATCAGAATGTAAATTAACATGAAATTTCAAAGGGAAATTTGGCCAGAACGCTGAAGTAGTTCATATCCTTTTACTCATTAATTCAACTCCTAGAAATGTCCTAAGAAACTTGTTGCAGATGCAAACAAAAATTTATGTATGAGGCCCGGCCAGTGTGGATTAGTGTATTGAGCATTGTTCCATGGACTGAGAAGTCCTGGTTCGATTCCTAGTCAGGGTACATGCTGAGTTGGGGGTGCGATCCCCAGTGAGGGGGGACAGGTGTGCAGGAGGCAGCAAATTGATATTTCTCACATCGACATTTCTATCTCTCTCTCCCTAAAAATTCAATAAAAACGTATTTAAAAAAAAATGTATATATGAGGATAAAAGAATATTGAAAAAACTCTAAATATCCAATAGTAAGAGAATGTTTATATATATTAAGGTACCTATGTGAAGGAATCTAAAACTATGTGATTCATTTAAAGAATATTTAATGATGAAAATGCTCATAATGTAATATAGACTAAGAAACATACCAATATATATAAAAAAAGCCCTTAAATATGACCTAAATTTCCAAAGAAAGAGAAAACATATGAATTAAATAGACTAAAATGAGATATGCAGATGTAGTGGATGCTGTGGTACTCCAGTCAGGTCCATCTCATTCAGGACTGAAGAACTCATTTCCTAACTGCAGGATTTGTGAGAGCGAACAGCTTGAAGCTGGGTTCCCTGCAAAAAAGATTGTCCTGGACTGAAGAGAAGGCCCTTTCCAAGGGCAGCCTGCATGCAATGACTAGTCTGTGTGGGGAGGGGAAGGAGAAGCAGTATAAAGGACCAACAACTCTCTGCCTCAAAGGGGAACAACTTTGAAGGGTCTTCCCATGGTCAGAACTCCCCCTGGGATCAGTTGGGCATTTGTTATGACACTACTATTTACAGTCCAACTTCTTCCTCTGCCCCATCCTGCTTCTGTCACTCCCTGCAGGTGTAGAGGGTGTCAGGGGCTCACCCTAATAAACCCCCAGTATGCAGATCTCTAAGTGAGGCTGCCTCCCAGGGAACCTGATCCTTTTTATTAAATTAATTAATTAATTAATTAATTTTGTTACAGATGTTTCTCCCTTTTCCTCCACTGATTCCCCTTCCCCTTCCCTCCATGCCCTGTCCCCAGCTTTGTTGTTCATGTCCATTGTTCATTCATACATGCATATAAGTTCTGTGGTTTATCTCTCCCCCACCACCCCCTCTTCTGGGGATTGTCAGTCTGTACCCCACTTCTACGTCTCCGGGACTACCCCATTCCTCAGACTGTTATGTTCATTATATTCCACAAATAAGTGAGATCATATGATACTTGTCTTTCTCTGTTTGGCTTGTTTCACTTAAGATGATACTTTCCAGGTCCTTCCATGTAGTCTCAAAGGATAAGAGATCTTTCTTTCTTACACCTGAATAAAACTCCATTCTGTATATGTACCACTGCTTTTTTATCCATTCATCGTCTACTGATGGACACTTGGGCTGTTTCCAGATTATAGCTATGGTAAATAGTGCTGCTACAAACATGGGGGTACATATATTCTTTCTGATTGGTGTTTGAGGCTTCTTAGGGTATACTCCTAGAAGTGGGATCACTGGGTCAAATGGAAGTTCAATTTTTATTTTTTTGAGCTAACACCATATTGTTTTCCATAGTGGCTGAACCACTCTGCATTCCCACCAGCAGTGTACTAGAGTCCCCTTTTCTCCACACTATCCCCAAAACTTGTTTGATGATTTGTTGATGGCAGCCATTCAGGTATGAGGTGATACCTCATTGTTGTTTTAATTTGCATCTCTCTGATGATTAGTGATGTTGAGCATTTCTTCCTATGTCTCTTAGCCATTTGTATGTCCTGTTTGGAGAGGTGTCGATTTAGTTCCTCTGCCCATTTTTTTATTGGGTTCTTTGTCTTCCTTTTGTTGAGTAATATGAGCAATCTACATATATTGGAAATGAACCCCTTATCTGATATATCATTGGCAATTATGCTCTCCCATACAGTGGGTGGCCTTTCCATTTTGATGATTCTATCTTTCGCTGTGCAGAAGCTTTTGAGTTTGATGTAGTCCCATGTGTTCATTTTCTCCTTTGTTTCTATTGCCTTAGGTGATGTATCAGTGAAAATTCTGTTGTATATGATGTCTGAAATTTTGTTGCCTACAGTCTCTTTTAGAATTGTTATGGATTCATGACTCACATTTAAGTCTTTTATCCATTTTGAGTTTATTGATGTGTAGGGTGTAAGTTGATGGTCCAGTTTCATTTTTCTGCATGTAGCTGTCCAATTATCCCAGCACCATTTATTAAAGAGGCTGTCCTTACACCACTGTATGCTCTTGCCACCTTTGTCAAATATTAATTGAGCATATTGCCTTGGTTCCATTTCTGGGTTCTCTGTTCTGTTCCACTGGTGCATATGCCTGTTCTTGTGCCAGTACCAGGCTGTTTTGATTATAGTGGCTTTGTAGTATAACCTGAAATCTGGTGATGTGATCCCTCCAACTTTGTTCTTCTTTTTCAAGATTGCTGTGGCTATTCGAGGTCTTTTTTAGTTCCATATGAACTTTTGAAGTACTTGTTTTAATTCTGTGAAGTATGCCATTGGTATTTTGATGAGGATTGCATTGAATCTATAAATTGCTTTTGGTAGTATGAACATTTTAATAATGTTAATTCTTCCAATCCATGAACAGGGTATGTGCTTCCACTTTTTTATATCTTCCTCTATTTCTTTTTTCAATGACCTGTAGTTGTCTGCGAATTGGTCATTAATTTCTTTGGTTGAGTTTATTCCTAGGTATCTTAATTTTTTTGCTGCAATGGTAAATGGGATTGTTTTCTTAGTTTCTCTTTCTGTGAGTTCATCATTGGTGTATAAGAATGCCATCTATTTCTTGTCATTAATTTTGTATCCTGCTATTTTTCAAAATTTATTTATTAAGTCAAGTAAAGTTTTGATCGAGTCTTTGGGGTTTCCTACGTATAGTATCATGTCATCTGCAAATAATGACAATTTCACTTCCTCCTTTCCAATTTGGATCCCTTTTATTTTTTCTTCCTGTCTCATTGCTGTGGCTAAGATTTCCAGTACTATGTTAAATAAGAGTGGCGAATGTGGGCATCCCTGTCTTGTTCTGATTCTTAAGGAAAATGCTTTAAGTTTCTGCCCATTGAGTATGATGTTGGCTGTAGGTCTTTCATATATGGCCTTTATTATATAGAGATAGGATCCCTCTATTCCCACATTGCTGAGCATTTTTATCAGAAATGGATGCTGGATTTTGTCAAAGGCTTTTTCGGCATCTGTTGATATGATCATGTGGTCTTTATTCTTCATTTTATTTATGTGGTGTATCACGTTTATTGATTTGCGAATATTGTACCGGCCTTGCATCCCTGGGATGAGTACCACTTGGTCATGGTGGATAATTTTTTTGGTGTATTGCTGGATCCGATTTGCTAGTATTTTGTTCAGGATGTTGGCATCTTTGTTCATCAGGGATATTGGCCTGTAGATTTCTTTCTTTGTAGTGTGTTTTTCTGGTTTTGAAATTAGAATTATGTTGGCTTCATAAAACAAGTTTGGAAGTC